ATATAAAGCTTGTCAGAGGCTCTGAAGTAAATTCACGTATGCTGGAACAAGGGAGAGGTTAAATCTTTCCTTGTGCCTAGGGAAGGAGGGGTAGGGCAGGGGAATTCTCAAGCTTTCCTCTTATGTGGGGATGAGATGCCAAAGGGCTGCACAGCTTCATAGAAGATGGAGTTAAATTGCATGGTGTGCCACAAGCCTGCTGTGTCACCCAGTCTCTGTCCCAAAGAGCCAGCAATCGAGGTAATGGGACAGAGTCCGAGAGTAGGTTTTTTCCTTCTGATCTAAGAATGGGCACAGATCACCTTCTGTTGTCTGGACAATTGTCAGTCTGCAAAGGAAGAAGGGTTAAACCCTTTTCCTGGTACTAGTGACATCTTGCCTTTTCTAACACTGCAAGAACTTAACATCTGACTGCTCATTTGTTTTGCTTATTGTTTACTTTCTTGCTCTGCTGAGCAAGGGCAATAGATCACTTTCACCTTTGTAGGTGAATTCAGTTTTGCTGTATTTAGGAGAATAAAACATCTCACCAGCATATTGCAAGTTAATGTGTTACTTTTTTTTTTTTTTTAATCTGGAGTTTCAAAATAAGTTACATTTCTGTTGAGATTAGACTTTGTGGTTAATTTCTTTTAGATTAACAAATCCTAGGCACCAAATTCTTTCCCTTAGCTATCACCTCATTCCTCTACCTCAGTAGTATTTGTTTGCAAGTATCTTGGAACAAAATGTGACCCTTAAATTGAAATCGGAAAGCTGGCTGAATTTCCTGAAGGCAAAAGCTGTTATGGTAACTTACAGGGGGAGACAGCAGAAGGATTTTCAGTTTTGCCAGCCTAAAATACATGCTTGCTTTCTGATCCTGCCTTACAGACCTAACTGTGAAATTGAACAATTTTGGGGAAGAACAGAAAAGCGCAGATAATGTTAATACCGAGAAAAACTTCTGAACAGCTTTGAAGCAGCTATAAAAAAGCATTTACTGCAATTGCAAAGCCCCTTTTACCAGTGCTCTGAACATCGTTGGAGAATGTACACCAGGTAGGGAGGCTGGAGAAGATCAAATGAGAAATGACAAGCCTTTGACTGTAAAGCTGTCAATACCTCAGAGCCAAGCCAGCCATACCTATTCCAGGGAGTGTAAAATGAAAACACGAGGGCTGTCCTGGGTTTAAGTTCATGCTGTTTTTAAAGAGAACTGGTGTTGCCCATCCCTGCTGGCTGTTTTCTGCTCTGCTGGCAGCGCTGACCTGGCTGATCAATGTTGCCACCAGATTTATTTGATTTTCTTGCCTAAGATGTATCTTTTCCTTTCAGATTCCCTCTTTGTTGCTCAGTCTGAGATTGATGTGTAATGTCAAAATAAATCTAGGGAGCGCCATGAGCCTCATAGAAAGTGTGCTCACTGCCATGCCTGTGTGGTTTCCTTCTCTCTGATTCGAGGCTGTGTAATACATGAGGGTGTTTTTGCGCTTGCTTTGATGTGATTAGGCTGCTTCAGACACTGAATTCAGTTTCCAAGATTTGGGAGCTGGATGTGGCAGGGTCAGGAGATCTGAAAGGCTTTTAGTTACCCACTTGTAGTAAGCCACCTGCATGCTAAGACAGCCAAATTACCAGCAACAAAGTGAAAAATTACAAAAGCATTCATTAAATGCCATGCCTGGACTAGAATCTGAGTGCACTGGAGTGTTTTTATCTCATCTAATGGGTAAACGACAGCTCGGTAGTTCCTGCTGCATTTCCTGCTTGATGGGGGTTGAGGGCTGCATTGATTCTGGGATAAAAAGGACTTTCAGAGCACTGGAAGGATGTGGTCCAAAAGAAGCCAAAAGCGAGTACTTTGGTTCAAGCCTGTTGGCTTTGCCTTGCCGCGCTGGGTAACGGGTGCAGCCAGTCTGTTACCTGCCCTCGTAACACTCGGGGTAGCTGCTGCATGGGAGCAGATGATGGAAGGAAAGAGCTGGCAAAAAGAGGCAGGCAATTGCACAAAGGGGTGACACATGCCAGCATTGGTCTGGTAGGAGCTGTAAAGGTCAGTATTGATAATACCGAGTACCCTCGGCTGGCTGTTTGATTCACTAGAGGGTTCAGCAGGCTTTGGCACATGACGCCTTTCTTTAGTTGTTGAAAATGAGCAAGTTCATGCCAGAAAAAAATACCATCAATATTTTTTCACTCTTCAACAACAACAAAAAAGGTTCAATTCTTACAGAAAAAAAAAGACTCTGGAGTATTTTTAATGAACGCTTATTTGAGGAATAAGAATGTTTGAATTTAAAATCCTGATCACCCTCAGACCTACATCCCGTCGTCTCAGCGACATGCCATATGGGAGAAGTAGAGCACTGGGCACCCAGTGCAAGCTTTGCAAGTGCAAAGACACTTGGTGAGGCCATGGCAGCAGGGCTGTTTCCTCACTCAGAGCTTGTGATGTTGGATTTTAGCATCTCCTGCCCTCCTAGAGTTGTGTGACAAGAAAGTTGTTTTGAAACCAAAGAAAAAGGCTCCTAGCTGCTCCTGTTGAGGAAAGCTTGAAAACATGAGTGGAAGGGCCTAACAGGAAGGGACAAATACATTTTTTGGTCCTTTGGCTTGGAGTCATACCATTTTTGCAGCCTTGTGATGCTTGGGGCTTGACCAGGTCTCTCGAATATTTGGCCGGGGCGGGATGGGGAGTTGCACAGTTCCTCTGAGATGGCACACGCTGGAGGCTGTGAGAGGGAAGCGAGAAGGCTGCAGCTCATCCAGCTGGCGAGAGGGGCTGAAGCACAGGGAGCTGGCAGGTGTTCCCCCTCAACTGCCGTGGTATTACAGGACCTGTTGAGCCTTATTTCTTGGACACCTGTCTCTCAAAGACCTTGCTTGAGTCATTTACTGTAATGTTGTGCCCTGAGGCCACTAAAGGTGTGTTTAATTTGAAATTGAATGTAATTGGAGCAGTTGACCTTGTTGCTGTAATGATTTTCAGCATGATAATTCAGCATGTTTCTTTGCTGTGCACCAAAACAGAGAACAGCTCCAAGAGCTACAAATCCAGGACCTGCTGCACTATAAAATATTTCCTTTTTTTTTTTTTTTACAGATGCAGCAGTTTGCACAACAGTCTTCACAGAAGGGCACGAAGAAAGGGGCATCAGTTGAATTAGTATCACTGTGACAGTCTCAGATATGGTGGTGACACCACAGAATGGTTTCCCCAGCAGAAGTCGGAGCAGGTGTCCCTGCTAGGGCAGAGGCTCCACCGCAGACCCAGCTTCAGATAAAGGATGCAGCCCTCCAAGCCCCAGGCTGCAGTGAGTCCCTGTTACTTCTCTGTGGTGCCAGGAGAAATGGCCCTCTGTCCTGCAGGAGGTGTGCTCTCTTGGAGGAGCTGTGCCACCAAGTCTAGGAGGTACAGGAGGAGATGAGCAGGCTGCACAGCTTCAAAGAAGATGAAGGAAGATAGACAGGATCTTTTCTGAGACAAAACAGCTCAAAGAGCTCCCAACCCCCACTGAAGTAGGGAAGCAGGCAGTGTCCACCCCTAATATTAAGGTAAGTGCAACCTCTAGAGAAGGTGAAGGATGGAAGCTTCTGACGCCAAGAGGAAGGCTCCTGCTCCCCCTAAGGACTTACAACTACAAAATAATTTCACCTCCCTCAACACTGAAGAGGAGCCAGATGTGCTCCACCCCGATATCTGCTGGAGCGACAACACAGCAGGACATAAGCAATCCAGGAGTTTCCTGGAGCATATTGACAATAACTTCCTCCTCCAAGTGATAAAGGAGCCAAGGAGAAGAGATGCTCTGCTGGACCTCATACTCACCAACAGTGAGGGGCTCACTGGGGATGTGAAGGTCAAAGGCAGCCTTGGCTGCAGTGACCAGATGGTGGAGTTAAAGCTCCTAAGGGGAGGAAGGAGGGTAAAAAGAAAGCTCACATCCCTGGACTTCAGGATAGCGGACTTTGGCCTCTTCAGAGATCTTGGGCTCTTCAAAAAGCACCCATGAGTGCAGAGGGAGCTGGCAAGTGTCATTGCAAGGCCACTGTCAGTAATCTTTGATAGATCATTGTGACTGGGAGAAGTCCCCAAAGACTGAAGGAAAGCAAATGTCACCCCTATCTTTAAGAAGGGCAAGGAGGAGGACCCAGGGAACTACAGGCCAGTCACCTCCACCTTGATCCCTGGGTGGGAAGGGGATGGAGCAGCTAATCCTGGAAACCATTTCCAGACACATGAACAACAAGAAAATCATCAGGAGTAGTCAGCATGGCTTCACCAAAGAGAAGTCATGCTTGAGCAACTTGATGAGCTCCTACAATGAAATGACTGGCTTGGTAGATGAGGGGAGAGCAGTGGATATTGTCTACCTGGACTTCAGGAAGGCCTTTGGCACTGTGTGCCACAACATCCTCATAGACAAGCTGGTGAAGTATGGCTGGATGAGCAGATAGTGGATTGAAAGCTGGCTGAATGGCCCAGAGGACGGTGGCACAAAGTCTAGTTGAAGGCCAGTAACTAGCTGTGTACCCCAGGAGTCAATAGTGGGTCCAGTCCTGTTTAACATTTTCATTAATGGTCTGGATGATGGGGCAGAATGTACCCTCAGCAAGTTTGCTGATGACACAAAACTGGGAGGAATGGCTGATAAACCAGAGGGTCATGCTGCCATCCAGAAGGACGTTGACAGGCTGGAGAAATGTGCTGACAGAAACATCGTGAAGTTCAACAAGACATTCAAAGTGCTGCACCTTGGGAGGAACAATCTGTATGCTGGGGGCCACCCAGCTGGAAAGCAGCTTGGCAGAAAAGGACCTGGAGGTCGTGGTGTACACCAAATTGAACGTGAGCCAGCCACGTGCCTTTGCCACAAAGAAGGCTAATGGTATCCTGGGCTGCATCAGGCAAAGTATTGCCAGCAGGCTGAGGGAGGTGATCCTTCTCCTCTACTCAGTGCTCTTGAGGCCACACCTGAAGTGCTGTGTCCGGTGCTGGGATCCCCAGTAAGAGAGACATGGACGTATTGGAGACAGTCCAACAAAGGGCCACAAAGATGATTAAGGGACCGGAATGTCTCATGTATGAGATAAAGGTGAGAGAGCTGTGACTGTTTTTTAGCCTGAAGAAGAGAAGGCTCGGGGCAGATCTTACCAATGTATGTAAGTACCTGAAGGGAGGGTGCAAAGAAGATGGAGCCAGGCTCTTTCCAGTGGTGCCCAGTGACAGGACCAGAGGCAGTGGGCACAAACTGAAACACAGGAGGTTCCCTCTGGACATCAGGAAACACTTTTTTTAGGGTGTTTAGCAAGGATGACTGAGCACCGGCACAGACGGCCTGGAGAGGTTGTGGAGTCTCCAACCTTGGAGACACTCAAAAGCCATCTGGTCATGGACCCGGGCAACTGGCTATAGGTAACCTGCTTGAGCAGGGAGGTTGGACCAGATGACCTCCAGAGGTCGGCAAAAGAAGTTGCCCTGGGGGGGAAGGTTTTCTAGGTTATGAAGTGGGGCGGTAGCTGAGGGGTGAGGGAGACGCAGTGGCTCTGTGGCCCGTGGGCAACGGAGGAAAGGTCAGAAGAGGGATGTTAAGGGCCTTTGGTCTGGAGACCGTTCCTGTCAGAGCCCCCATGATCCGGCCGACAGGCAGCTGCCTTCCCGCCGGGGCTTTGCTCCTGCCCCCGCCTCGCCCGGCGGAGGGGGGCGTCGCCTGCCGGCGGGGTTCGGCGGCTCCCGCCTTCCCGCCGCGGGGGCTGATCACCCACCGCCGGCGCATGCAGCCGCGCCGCC